TTAATAGTCTTACGCGCTTAAAATCCAAACAGAGGCTAATCCAAAAGCTTTTTCGGATAGAGCGGATGGTGGCTTTGAAAATGAAGGACAAAATTGCTAAGAAATGGCTTGGTGGAGCGGGTGACGGTAGTCGTTAAATTTTTTTAGTTACATTTTTTTTTTGTATTTTTTAAAACTGTGTAGGGTTTTTTTTATTTTATTTTACTCTTTTATTTATTGTTAATGAAATATTTAATTTAAACTTCTACTTTAAATAAAAAAATTAAATAGAACTTATAAAAGTAATGTTTAAAAATGAAAATATAAAAAAGGGTGGAGATGGAAAAATGGAAAATTCAGGTATGAATATGTTGAGATGCAATAATCCACACCACCGGCATTAGAAACGATGAAGGAGCTGAAGAGTCTAGCTGAGATCACACATACAAAAAGAGCCAAAAATTTATGAATAAGCAAGAAAATTTTTTAGTATTAAAAAAGAAAATGTGACATCCTAGTATAATTGAGAGCACCGGAAATACGTTTGAAGCCCCGGGGCTTCAAACCGGGCTTCAAACCTTCTCTCTCTGCCACGTCAGCTTTAACTTACACCCAAAATTCACTGGAAATGGGTTTGAAGCCCTAGGGCTTCAAACTGGGGCTTCAAACTGGGGCTTCAAACCTTCATTTTTTACATTTTTAAATATACATCTTCTAAAATTAAATTAATAAAATGTAATTAATTTATTATTTAATTAAATTGAAACACGAATAATAAAAAAATACATTAATTAAATAAAAAAAGCGACAATAATTTAAAAAAAGATACATTAATAAAAAACTAAGGTAAATTATATTTCTCCTAGATCTCTCTCATTCTTTGCTCGTAGATCATTAGTCCAAACTCCGACAACGTCCCGGGGTTGGTTTGCATGACTTTCATCTCGACCTCTTGCTCCTTTAGCTTCAACTCCTTCTCCTTTAGCTTCAACCTCTCTTGTTCTCGGAGATTGAACGCCTGAAGTTGTTCAACCATTTCCCGGCCGATTTCGTCGCGGGAAGAAGCGGAAACAGAGGCGGACCCTCCCGAACTAGAGGCAATGGATTTTGCCTTCTTTCTTCCGATCGGCCGTGGAATGGGGTCCTCATCATCGGGATCCGCAACGTTGAAGGGAGGGATTTGATCGGTTGAACCGATAGTCTCGTCGACCTCAACCTCGGCATCGACGGTGGATCTTTTCCGGAACGATCCGCCGTCGGGATTGTTGAGTTGTTGCCACTTCGGGGAACGACTCAAAATCCTCCAAATATCGATGGGCACCTTACCTTGGTGCCCGTCGTCTTGATATCGGGCCGTGGCAAGCCGGAGAACATCGGCGTCGTTCGTCCCGCTCCTCCGGGACCGGGAGCATTCCTCGTAAACTCCGATAAATTTTTGGACTTTACGGTTGATGTGGCTCCATTTGGAAGTGAGGTTGTCCTGGGTTCGATAGGAGCCGTCCTTCTTCATCGCCGTGAAGAACTTCTCCTCGATACGATCCCACATCGCATCCTTCGTTTGCTCCGAACCTTTAAAAACTTATTACACAATTTTTTTAAACACCATTAAATATAATATATATAAATAAAAACATAAATATATTAGAAAAAATAAATTTTTTACCAATGATAGGATGCTCGGAGACGTCAACCCAAGCCGACGCCAATATGCACTCCTCCTCCGGCGTCCACTTTTGGATTGACCGTGCCGCCTCGGTCAACGTGCTTTTGGCTTTGTGGCTTTTCCGGCGTGTACTTTTTTTCGACCAAGACGGTTCCGGTTGAGTCTCCGGAACCGAATCTCTGTCGACGTACCCCGATTGTTGCGACTCGTACATCGGCGGTCTATCGCCCAACTCTTGGTAATACCACATCGCGGCGTCGACGGGCGCGAGATTGTCGGGAAAGAAGCCGGAGCCGGAAGGATTCATGTTGAAAATTGGGAGGGGGGGGTTTGAATTTTGAAATTTAAAAATTGGGAAGAAGAAGAGATTGAAGATGGAGATGGTGTGAGATATTGGGAAGGGGGGTTTGAATTTATAATTAAAAAAAAAAATTTGAATTGGGGGGTGCAACGGCTCAAAGAGCCGTTAGGGGGGGAGGGAGAGACGAATGACGCTGCGTCATTCGTTTGACGGGCGCCTGGTAACGCCCGGGTAACGCCGCCGGGGGCGGTGTTAAACGCCCCCGGGGCGTGAAAACCGGCATAACGCCGGTCGGCGTTACGGGTATACCCACTGCCCTGAGGCACTGCTCGTGTATGCTCTCCTCTGAGTCGGCTCTGATCTAGACAAGATCTATTCGCAGTTTGCCGACGTTGCAAGACAATTTGAGTTTTGAATTTTGGTCATTACTGTAAACTTTCACTATATCAATGAAGCCACTCTCTACTAAATTCGAATTCTAAAGTTAAAAGAAGAAAGAAAGAGCTACATGATCTCATCATTGTTTGTATTAACGTCTTTATACATTTTGAGTACCAAAGCCATGTGAAATTATTTAAAAGTGGTCAAGTGATCATTGGAATTATATTCATAGTGTTTCGATAAGAATTGTAGCTAGACCTGGCAATCGGGTCAATCGGTTCGGTTCCGGTTCGGGTCTTTTCGGTTTGGGTCTCTTTTGGATGTATGTTATAATCGGTTCGGGTTGGTTCGGTTCGGGTCAGTTTGGTTCCGGGTTTATTTCGGTTTGATTGGTTTTTGGTTTTTGTTCGGTTTCGGTTCGAGTTTATATCGGTTCGGGTTTGTATCGATTCGGGTTTATATCGGTTCGGGTTTATATCGGTTCGGGTTTGTATCGGTTCGGGTTATATCGGTTCAGGTTTGTATCAACTCGGGTTGTATTGATTTGGGTTCATATAGATTTGAGTTCATATCGATTTAAATTTATATTAGTTCAAGTATAATGTAATTAAACACATACTAATAAATGAATAATATCACATAATAAATTTAGTTAATTTAGTTAAGAGTAAATTCCATAATTGGTCCTTTATAACAGAGGGGTTTCCCTATTTAGTCCTCAATTATCAAATATTACCCTAGTGGTCTTTCTTTTATAGGTATCTTTCCATAAATGGTCCTTTTTTATCTTATGTCATGTTAATGTTAATTTGAAGGCTAAGTATATAATTTGACATCAACATTATGTCTAGTGACATGTTCTGATATTGGTTAAGCGGATAACACAAAAATAATGACTATGATTGTGGACTAGGATTCCAACGAAAGACCACATTTAATTTGTAGACTATATTTGTAGTAGAAAGCGGCTGTAATTCACAAACGACGCAAACGGAACAGCCCTTGGAATTGTGTATGACAAAAAAGATATATTATCATTGTTAAATTATACTTTTAGCCCTCAAATTAACACCAACGTGATAGAAGATCAAAAAAAGGACTATATGTGGAAAGATACCTATAAAAAAAGGACCACTGGGGTAATATTTAATAATTGAGAACTAAATAGGGAAACCCCCTATTATACAGGACTAATTATAGAATTTACTCTTTAGTTAACTATAATTTTTATATACTTTCTATACAAATATAAAAATATTTTAACTTTAGTTATAAAATGCAAAGTAAAAGATTTGCACATGAAAGTAGTTACATGGTTTGCACCCATAATTTAAATATGTTTTTTTAGAAACACATCAACATATATAAAAATATATAGGTAATTCGTTTTCTCCAAATTCATTTGATAAATGAAATATTAATGAACTTGATCAATTTCGGGTCTAATCGGTTTCGGGTCTAATCGGTTCCGGGTTTAACTGGGTTCGGGTTTAATCGAGTTCGGGTTTAATCGATTCGGATTTAATCGGTTCGGGTTTAATCAGATTCGGGTCTGAATCGGGTCTGAATACATTCGGTTCGGGTTCGGTTCTATTTCGGTTCTTTAGTTTTCGGGTCAATTCAGGTTCGGTTCGGGTTTTCAGGTCCGGCTCAGTTTTGCCCGGTCTAATTGTAGCCATATGATTTTTGTGCAATGCTTTAAACAAAAATTAATACTCGTTTGATATTGCCTTTAGTGACATTAAGGTTCAAGGAATTTAAAAGGGAAAAGAAAAGAAAATGAATTGGAAAACAGTTTTTCATGTTTGGTTGGAAAGGAAAAGTGGAAGAAAAAGAAAATGAGAAGACAAATATACTAACCGGAGGGAAAACCAAAATCCTCCCATTTTGGTGAGGAAAATGAGAGAAAATCATTTTCTTTTCTTTTCCTTCCAAAATACTTGAACCAAACATATTGTAAGAGCATGGGCAATGGCAAGTAATTAAGAAATGGAATGCTACACGATAACGTATAGTATTTTAGCCAATCAAAATCTGTCCAGTTAGCGTGTGGTACATGAGTGGAGTGACATGTCTTGTAGTGGCAAGTCACCATTATTATCATTTTTATACCTTTTTAATATATTTTAATTTCAAAAATTATTTTACTTACCTTATTTTAATAAAAAACACTACAAGAAATATGACTTTTTGTAGCAAAGTTTTAGTAGCAAAATTAGTATTTGCCACAATATGTAAAGATTGAACAAATTTTTGTAGCAAATAAGATTTTGCCACAAAATATTAGACATATTGTGGCAATTGTGTAAAATTGCTACTATATCTAAATATATACGGAGTAAATGATTGGACTCAAAGGTTTACGTACTCCCTCCGTCCTAAAATTAACTTCTCATTTGACTTTTCACGGTCTCCAATGCGACACTTTGACCATCAATATCTCAATTTTTATATAAATATATTTTATAAAAATTATATATTTCAAAATTATATTCCAAAATGAATCTAATCCTAATAAATTTATATGAAAATTCAATGTATTTTTTTCTTAATTTACGGTCAAAGTTTAAAAAGTTTAACTGTAAAAGTCAAACTGGAAAATTAATTTTAGGACGGAGGGAGTATTTTTTAGGCCCATTTATCCATACACCGAGTAATTGCACAACAGGAGGAAAAATCCTTCACAATTTACTAGATTTACACAATCGAGATTCTTCTTATTTTCTTCTCTAAACCGAACAGTTACGGAGGGGAGCGAGGGCCGGCGAAGGTGAGACAACGACGGGGCTATGGTCTCTAACCTTAGCCCCCGATCCAGTTTTGCAAGGGTGCGAATCGAGAGTGGGCCTGCAACTAGGCGAGCAGTGGCAACCTTCTAGTTTCTGGCAGCGATTGCCGCTACGAGCTTTGCCGCAAAGAAGGTCAAATGATTGAAATTTCAGCATGAAATCCAATAACTTCAAGCCTCTAATAGTTTTTGCCAGTATAAACTCTAAATTCGAGTTGTTATTCAATGACTTCCTAGTTTTTGTCCAAATTTATGCCTATGATCTATTTTAGTAGTATTTTGTGTATATGTTACAGTCTAGACGGATTAATATTAGGTTTTAATTGGGTTAAAATTTGGTTACATTTCTGATTTCTTAAATAAAGATCTGAGTTTGGCTTTTAATTATGATTAAAAGTTTGTTGGATTCTTTTATTAAGATATGCTTTTGTTTGTTGTGTTTTTATGTGGTATCCAAGTCTTTTTAGATTTTTAATTGAAGTCAATGAGGGGAATGCAGAGAAGAGTTTGGTAATCCAAGTGAGGATGGGGAAGATTAGACAAGATATACAAATGGCAATGAGGTAAAGGGTACAATTACTACACATACTTTATTTTTAAGATTTGTTTGTTCATTTGTATGTCCCAAGAACATAATATGGCCTAGAGTAAAAAATGCCAAAGCTCAAAAAAGGAATCAAAAGAGATTCAAAGTTGTTTTTATGGGCTATAGATGTTTCTGTATAATCTTTCTATTTATAAATGATGGTGTTAATTAAGATGATTTTAACTCTTCATATTTTTTACCTGTATGGTGTATAAGTTTGCCTGTTTTTTTTGTTGTTGTTTTTTTGTTTATCGATTTGCAATTATTGAGTTTAGATGTGAATTTGGGTAAAGAAGGTTGGATTTGGAGGATGTTTGTGTTACGCTTCTCTAACACTATGTTTGGTTCAAGTAATTTGAAATGGAAAAGGAAATGAGATAGAAAACAGTTTTTCTTGTTTCGATAGAGAGAAAAAAAGAAAAGTGGAAGAAAAAGGAAATGAGAAGACAAAATGTACTAAGAGGAGGGAAAATCAAATTCCTCCCATTTTGGTGAGGAAAATGAAAGAAAATCATTTTCTTTTCTTTTCCTTCCTAATTACTTGAACCAAACATAGTGTAAATGTTCAATGTTGATGTGGTTTCTTGATAATTTGCCGGAGTATAAAGAGGGATTCTCATTGTGGTATAGGAACCGTATTCTGATGCTTTATTATACGGAGTGTTAAACTTTTTCTTTTTCTTAAATTCTATCGGGGGTTTCAGGTTTGATCGTGACTGGATGAAAATTGAAGATTTTGTGGGTTCAAAGATAGTGATTCAGGTACCATTTCATCTTTAATAGGCAGTTAGAGATTACTTCCTTTTCTTCTGTTCTTGTGTTCTTGCTTCAATGAATTTTGTGCAAATTTTGATTGCTTTCGAAATGTATTACGGATTACATGTCTGGCTTTCCTTTCCACAAAGCATCTATCAAATGATAAAATGGATATTGACAATTTTTGCAGTTTGTGTGTGTATAATACACTAATACACATACATGCCTGCGCGTGTGTGCTTTGCTAATTTTTTTAGAAATTAACCTGCAGATTCGGAGTCATGCCCAAAAATATTTCTTGAAGGTCCAAAAAAACGGTACAATAGCACATGTGCCCCCACCTCGGCCCAAGCGTAAAGCATCTCATCCTTATCCCCAAAAAGCTTAAAAAATTGTCCGTCTTTAATTTGTTCACTATTGCAGTGATTTTATGCATGCCTATCTTTTGAATGATTACATACTTTCCTTCTGTTTGTTTAAAACTATGGGCAGTTTTAGTGCCTCTGCATGGCTAATCCTCCTTTAGTGATTCCTCTCGCACCTGTGTATCACACTTCCCTGCTTCGCACGGGTTATGTTTGTCTTGTTTGTAAGTTTTTAATTAAAATTTGGATGTATTATTTCATCCCGCCACGTACACTTGGGTCTTCTTCTTGGTAGGATCTAGGGTTGATCCACGTTGTATTCTTTTGGGCGCTAGTAATAAGTATTTTCCCATTGAAAACAACATGCTTAGTTTATCATCCTTTGAAAACACTACAATATTATTATGAATCTTTGATTGTTTAAATTTAAAAAACCATATATATATATTTTTAAATCATAATATATACGGAGTACGACTTTTGCTTAATAAGTACTTTAATTTATAATAGTTTGGTATGTTGATTATTATTAATCCTCAAAGCTGCATATGAAGCCTGTAGGACATCAGCAACCAGGAGTATCTCTAACAGCTTCATATGGAACTAATTTCAGATCCCTGGTTGAACTGCAATTCTTCACCTAGAGGATGCTGCAAGGAATCTTTTGTCACAATCCTTGATTACTTTTCTAAGAGAAGAGACTCAAGAAACACTGCCTTGAATGGCAATTCTCCTACTCAAAAAAGACAAGGGGAAGTTGAGGCTTGTTGCACCAAGAAAGATATAGAGATCAACAAAGCAAAATATGAGGGGTATGTACCTAAGGAAAGCCACACAATCCAGCCATCATTATACAGATACAACTATATATGGTGCTAGGATCACATGAAGGAAAAATGGATAAAGCATGCTCAGGACCAATGTAGCTTCGGTTTTAGAGAGGACATATGTAATTTTCTGTAGTACTTGTATGACTTAATTTGATCTATTGTTTTTTCCATGATTTGAGGCTCTTACTAAGAGACCTACTTGTACCCTCTTTCTGTTGGCATAATAAAAAAAGGTCCATTATATTATATTTTTTCTCCATAAAAAAAGTTATATGAAAAAAAACAGAGTAAAGAATTCAAGTTATATCTCGCATTTAGTTTATTGTAATAGTGTAATAATAGTAGCAATTAAAATTTGCTACTAAACAAGAGTTTTTGTGTCAAAGTAGTATTTGTGGCAAAATATATTTGTTACTAAACATCAGTTTTAGTGGCAAAGAATTATTTGTAGCAATTCAAATTTGCTACTAAACATGAGCTTTTGTGGCAAAGTTTCATTTGTGGCAAATCAAAATTTGCCACAAAATCCATATTTTTTGTGGCAAATTTTAATTTGCTACAAATACCTTTTGTAACGGGGTATTTGTGGCAACCTTGTGGCAAAATTTAAAATTGCTACAAACTATTATAGTGGCTAATTTTAGATGTTTTGTGGCAAAAAATGGTGCCACAAAAAGTCAAGTTTTTTGTAGTGAAATTTGTAACCTTTTTTGGCAATGTTAACATTTTTGACATATTTTAATTAGCTAATGCGTGCTTTTTTATTATAAATTATTTCATTTTCTTGTAAAGTTTTAATTGTGCAAAGAGAAAATTAAATTTTAATTTTTTTTAATTTAAATTATATAATTTCACATAAAACATTAATGTTTAAAAATCTATATTTTTTAGTCTCAAATAAAGGTTAGGTTGTTTTGAAAAAGAAAATAAATTGTAAAGAAAAAAGAAAGGGCTAAAAATGTAAAACAGTGCCTCTAATCTCAATAAAATAAAAAAACTTTTTTCTTTTTTTACAAAAAAAAAAACCAAAAAGGGAAAAGAGTGCCTCGCTCATGCCACGACTTGCAAGGAAAATTGCAATGCTTTAATTTGCCATGGAAAAGGAGTAAGAATGCTGAGCTGGCATGCGTGGCTGGCATGCGTGGCAGTGACTTTGACACGCCACTGCCCATGCTCTAACAATTACGTTTTCTCACAACCAAAACTGAGAAACAAATGGCAGATTCAGGAATACAACTAAGCGAGAGAGTAGTGGGGATTAGGGCCCTTAGGGGTGTTCATTCAGATATATCTGATCTGATCCGCTATTTTGGATATCCAAAATTTTTGGATTGATGAATATCTATTCCATGTCCTATCCTAAAATTACAGGATACCCGAATTGGATATCCGAAATTTCAAATCGCAGCAATGAAATATCCGAAAACATTATATTTAAATTTTTTTTTTGAATTTTTATTTTTTCCAATCATTATGAAAAAGTATTTAGAATGTTTTTTTATTTGTTAAAATAGTAGAGGTCATAAATTAGACTTAAATTTGAAGTCAACTCTATTTTAAGTGTTATAGTTACCTTGATAACATTATCATAAATCATAATTTTATAAATGTATGAAAAAAGAATATCAACATAATGGACAAATAAAACATAGACAAAAAGACTAAAGTAAAAAACTTGAATTAAGCTCGGAGGGAAAACCAAAATCCTCCCATTTTGGTGAGGAAAATGAGAGAAAATCATTTTCTTTTCTTTTCCTTCCAAAATACTTGAACCAAACATATTGTAAGAGCATGGGCAATGGCAAGTAATTAAGAAATGGAATGCCACATGATAACGTATAGTATTTTAGCCAATCAAAATCTGTCCAGTTAGCGTGTGGTACATGAGTGGAGTGACATGTCTTGTAGTGGCAAGTCACCATTATTATCATTTTTATACCTTTTCAATATATTTTAATTTCAAAAATTATTTTACTTACCTTATTTTAATAAAAAATTTGTAACCTTTTTTGGCAATGTTAACATTTTTGACATATTTTAATTAGCTAATGCGTGCTTTTTTATTTTAAATTATTTCATTTTCTTGTAAAGTTTTAATTGTGCAAAGAGAAAATTAAATTTTAATTTTTTTTAATTTAAATTATATAATTTCACATAAAACATTAATGTTTAAAAATCTATATTTTTTAGTCTCAAATAAAGGTTAGATTGTTTTGAAAAAGAAAATAAATTGTAAAGAAAAAAGAAAGGGCTAAAAATGTAAAACAGTGCCTCTAATCTCAATAAAATAAAAAAACTTTTTTTCTTTTTTACAAAAAAAAAACCAAAAAGGGAAAAGAGTGCCTCGCTCATGCCACGACTTGCAAGGAAAATTGCAATGCTTTGCCATGGAAAAGGAGTAAGAATGCTGAGCTGGCATGCGTGGCTGGCATGCGTGGCAGTGACTTTGACACGCCACTGCCCATGCTCTAACAATTACGTTTTCTCACAACCAAAACTGAGAAACAAATGGCAGATTCAGGTATACAACTGAGCGAGAGAGTAGTGGGGATTAGGGCCCTTAGGGGTGTTCATTCAGATATATCCGATCTGCTATTTTGGATATCCAAAATTTTTGGATTGATGAATATCTATTCCATGTCCTATCCTAAAATTACAGGATACCCGAATTGGATATCCGAAATTTTAAATCGCAGCAATGAAATATCCGAAAAAATTATATTTAAATTTTTTTTTTGAATTTTTATTTTTTCCAATCATTATGAAAAAGTATTTAGAATGTTTTTTTATTTGTTAAAATAGTAGAGGTCATAAATTAGACTTAAATTTGAAGTCAACTCTATTTTAAGTGTCATAGTTACCTTGATAGTATTATCATAAATCATAATTTTATAAATGTATGAAAAAAGAATATCAACATAATGGACAAATAAAACATAGACAAAAAGACTAAAGTAAAAAACTTGAATTAAGCTTAGATTTAAATATATATGATGATGAAAATGAATTGGGATTAAGTTGTCTAAGCTTTATTTTTACAGCCCAGTTCCAGTGACACCGGAGAACGGTGCTACTCCGGTGCCACTGCATTTTTGGGACACCTCCGGTGCTCCGCTCATAAAATTAACGGTTCCTATCCCCCTAACCCTTTCCCTAAACCCCTCATCCTACCCCACCCCTGCACCCCCACCCCAACCCCGCCGTAAGCCCCCCACAAAAAGTGTGGCTATTATGCAATGCATAATAGCCACACATTTTGTGGGGGGCTTACAGCATGGTTTTTATACTTAATTTTTTTAATATGAATTTCGAATATTCATGGATATCCAAAATCTTAATATGTCATTCCATATCCGATCAGAATTATTTCGGATGTCTAATCCGAAATATCCGAAAGCTAAAATATTGGATTGGATATCCATTTTTCGGATCGGATCAACCCGGATCGTGAACGGATATTTCGGATCGGATACTGCACCCCCAAAAATTGTTACGCTAAAATCATAGGAATGGTTCAACTTTGTATCCTACAAATTAGAAGCCGGCATCTTCTTTTTTTTTTAACTTATGTTTTTCATTTCATTATTTAGATTATGATTATTTGAATTTATTATACTTAAAAACTAACATGGTATGACATTGGAAATCTACTGCGAGTCGTTTAAAAAACACCGAAGGAAACATTTTTGAACCAAGCATGATGTGGACTTGATTAGTGTTCTAAAATGGTAATGAAATGCAGGGATATAGAGCAACAATAAAGGCTTACTTAGCAAACAATTAGGACTTCTGAACACTCAAAAAAATTAGGACATCAGAAGAAACTGAGAACCAGTTATTTTGCAGGTAGATTAGCATAAAAATTGTACTCCGTAATTAAAATACAAGAACAAATAAAAAAGAAGAAAAAACATTCAAATTTCTCCTCGATATCCGCCAGAGCCAAAGTAATCCCTCCTTTGATTGGCGATTTGCTGGCTTTTTTGATGTTCAAGTTTGGGGCAATCGTGAATACGATGACCAAGACCACCGCAGTTGGCACAGCCTTTGATCCCACTTACAGACCTGTCCGGATCATCAACTTCCCCTGGAGTTTCAAGTTCAGCAAGAACTGGAGGAATCCTTTGCTTAGCTTCTTGCAGCAGGTGTTTGAGATCAAGAAGGGTTGTTGGGCTCTGAGTTTTGTTGATGAATGTCGTGGCGATTCCTGTTTTGCCACACCTGCCTGTACGCCCAATCCTATGAACATAGTTCTCAATTTCAGCAGGCATATCATAGTTTATCACATGCTGGATATCAGGAAAATCCAACCCTTTGGACGCCACATCAGTTGCAACCAATACATCCTTCTTCCCAGATTTGAATGACGAAATGGCATACTCCCTCTCTTCTTGGTCCTTCCCACCATGAATAGAAACAGCTTCCACACCTTTCAAAAGCAGATACTCATGTATGTCATCCACGTCAGCTTTGTTCTCACAAAAGATTAAAACCGGAGGTGGTGTTTTCTGCAAACAATGAAGAAGGTATACCAGCTTTGCCTCCTGCTTTACATATTCTACTTCTTGGATGACATCTAAGTTAGCTGCCCCGGCTCTTCCAACATTCACAGTTACGGGTTTAACCAATGCACTTCTTGCAAAGTTTTGGATCTTTGTGGGCATTGTGGCAGAAAAAAGTAGAGTTTGCCTTTGTGCTTTAAAATGATCAAAAACTTCCCTGATGTCATCTTCAAAGCCAAGGTCTACTAATCTGTCTGCTTCGTCTAATGTTAAGTATCTACATGTAAGGCAAGCATAATATTAAAAGTGAATGTAATGTCCAAACTCACAGGATATCAATAAATAGCTTAGGCATGACAAAAATTGCAACCAAGATACGTGTAGGCTATTCCTACTAGGTTGACCTGGAATCTAACAGCTAAAAAGTTAACTAATTAAATTGTGTGTGTGGTAAAAGGAGTTAAGGCAAATGATATTTCATAAAAATAACATAAAAAGAGAAAAAAGGAGAGTAAACAGTCATTTTATCTTAAAATAATTGGAATAGATGGGGAGGTAGATAAAATAAATTTTCAGCCGCCCAGTGTAATTTATTAAGTTTCACGTACCTGAAATTTATTTTATCAAACACATCTACCTTCAAATGAGCTGAAATTTTCAGTCATAAATTATTTTTGGTCAAATGAGCAACCATTTGAATCCCAAACATTGCGCCTTAGTTTCAATACTATTATTATTATTAATAGTGTTCCATTTTAGCCTATATTACTAATGTCATTAACTCCTCGTTGAAATATGTTGGGAGCACTCTAATTCGGTATTTGATAACCAGAATCTTAGAGGACCAGTATAAATATGACGTCTCTATTCATTAATAATAGAATAAATTCCATAATTTGTCCTTTATAATAGGAGGATTTCCCTATTTAATCCTCTATTATCAAATATTACCCCGGTGGTCCTTTTATGGGTATCTTTCCACATATAAGCCTTTTTTTGATCTTCTATCCTGTTGGTGTTAATTTGAGGGCTAAATGTATAATTTTATAATGATAATATATCTTTTTTGTCATACACAATTCCAAAGGCCACTCCTGATGCGTCGTTTGTGAAACAATCATTTTCTAATACAACCAACAGAGTATAGAAAAATTAAAAAAACAGATCTGAGAGACAGATGTTATTCTCCATTCATAGGAAGCTCTAAAATGAAGAAACAGATGGACACAAGACTTTGAGAAGGGGCAACCATGAAGTATAAAAAAACTTGAAAAACACATAACAAATATAATTCTCTTCGGAAGCAACCCATTGATGGCAGCTCTAAAAAATTTTAAAAAGTAAGAATAAATCACTCATTATTGATCTTAACCCATCTATGGCAGCTCCAGATTCTTCGACATATGGAGTTCAGGTTTCGACTAGTCGCTATTCAAAAAGGAAAATCCAAGCTGAAATGGCATTTTATGAGGGACCAAACAACAAGGGAGAAAATGGAAGAAAGGTATATTAGTCTTCCTGGTATAATTTATTTGCCAAATATGAAAATGGGAAGAAAGACATGGGACGGAAAAAGTATTAGACTTAGAGATAGAACATTATAAATAACATATTAATCCATGCACATTAAAGAAGCATTTTTTTAGACTTAAATATTTCAAATGCAACAAAGTCTACCATGACATAGTACAAAACATTGTTCGTAGGCAATAGACTTAAATTGGCAATAGACTCTGAAGGCTTACAATTAGGATCAAAATATGTTGCATTTCCTTCATCTTTTCTGACATTTGAAATCTGTTTTAATAAGAAATAAAACCAATTGTTTATGAACATAAAATTTTCAATTTTTAATGGAAAATTAGTAACAATAAAAATGAAAAGAAATAAATTAATAGAAAATTAGTAAGAACAAAATGTTATTATAAATGGGTAAAAAAAATAAAAGAATAAGGGGTGGCTCAAGGGAGTGGTGCAAGAGGAAGCAATAAAGCCAAAAGAAACAAACATTAAAGTTTTGACCCGGGTCCTGGGTCAATAAAAGGAAACGGGGCTCTGCATTGATAAGAAAGCAAGGGGTTACCGCAAAGATGAAGACCGATGAACAACGATGTCGCAGAGAGGGATGAACTCACAAAGATGAAGACCCACTAGCAGTGAGGAAAGCCGAAGAGGAGACCGGAGACGGGTTGAAAGACTAGGGTTTAGATTTGGTGATTTAACTTTTGATTTTTTTAATAAAATGACAAATTAAACCTTAATTTTAATTCTCTTTTTTTTTTTGTGGGAAAATGTCTTACGCTTTTTACCACCTCATTGCATACGTGCCATAGCTGAGGAAAGCATATAGCCGATGGCAAGATTGCCTCAAGGCATTTTTCTAAAGAAATAGACATCAATATGGCAGGTTACGCAATGCCATTTCAAACATTGAGCAAATTGTTAGAGAAGGGATGAAGAATTAATGGAAAATCAAAGATAAGGACATCATGAAATCTAAACTACAATCAAGAATATATTAAGTGGGAAATCATTTTATGAAACAAGACATGCAAATGAAGGTTCATGTTTCAAAATTCATTATTTCCGCCATTCCTTTTTAAGGAACTATTATGACTTTCTTGAAAACTGGATAATGATTAAATGTAGACATAAAGTACGTCTATATTTAATTAATTTTCAATATATCAAGAAAGTCAAAATGGTATGTTAAAAGGGATTGGAGGGTTTAGTTATAAACTAAGAAAATTTAACTGCTAGTCCCAAAGCACTTTATTGAACATATTAGTCAGGGTAATATGTTCAATCATGTAGCATAGCTTCCAAAAGATTCAAGCCATAGTAATCCTACAGCGAAAGAAACAAGGTATTGTTACCTGCAATTGTCAAGGTTCATTTTCTTTTTAGCAAGCATGTCTTTGAGCCTTCCAGGTGTGGCAACCACAATATGAACTCCTTTCCTTACTACATCTAGCTGGGACTTCATGTCAACTCCTCCAATGCATAATAGAGGTCTTACCTCAGGGTACCCAACCTCCCTTAGAGGCTCTAGAAACTGTTCTATGACTTCATATGTTTGTCGAGCTAGCTCTCTTGAAGGGCAAATGATTAATCCAAAAGGCCCTTCTCCCGGAACAATAGGCATCATCATCTCCTCCTGTAAGGCTGCCATGATAAGTGGTAAAACAAAAACCAGCGTCTTCCCAGATCCTGTAAATGCAATTCCAATCATATCTCTTCCAGACAAGATAACAGGCAGTCCTTGTACCTGGATTGGAGTTGGTTGAATAATGCCCTTAGCTTTAAGCTTGTCCAGAATCGGTTCAGGAAACCTCATATCCTTAAAATTTTTAATGGGTGGAGGGATGTCATCTCCCTCCACAATAATATGCCACTGTTTACGAATGGTCTCACGGGCTTTTTTTGACATCCTTCTGATGTCTAATGGTGGCTTCCAGCCAGTGAACATAGGATCTGTATATGTAATCCCTTTAGCAAGTTCACGCACTGACATCAAAGTCTTTCTATCAGAGAGATGCTCAATCATTTCTTTCTCTTGCTGAATCATTTGCTCAGTCACACTGACTTCTGGCATTTCCTTCTTCAGTTGAGTAGCCTTTACAAGCAAACTTGGTTTTGCTTCAACTTGTTTCGTCTTTTCAGTTTCCTCTTCCAACCCTGAAGATTTCCCCTTGCGCTGGAGAATCTTGTGTGCCTCAAGTGCCCTTCGCTTTGACACGGGAATATACTCAACATAATCATCATCCTCCATCTCCTGGAAACATGAAAAAACAAATATATAAAAACTAAATAAGTTGTCAATATGAGAATCCCTTCATAAAACATCTTTGTAAATAACAAATGATGATCATCAGGTTTAAAGCTTTCGAAATTTGAAAGCATGTGTTGGTAAATTTAGAACATAAAATGATCAAAAATCTAAATCTAGTATAAGAGTCCCTTCGTTCTCTTCATCAGCACAACCTTGTTTGAGAATACAAAATTTTGAAAAGAAAAACAAGATAAATCAGAAAATACTTCAAAAAATTGATCAGTTTGACAACAAACTTCGTAAAGAAATTCTGCGAATAATTTTTTTTTATGAATTTCAAAATTATTTAAGGTTAGCTTACCATGTTCATAAGGGAGGCCATTGCAGAAATAACAAGCTGCAGCAATTCACGGTGCAATAAAGTCCCTGGAAACTTGAAGTATTAGTGTATATGCCCACATGCTTCCATACAAAATAATGATAACGGACACGCCGAAACTGCTATTTTGAAAAAGCGAAGAGACAAAACACTGGGGAAACACCAAATTTGTGTGTGTGTTTTTGTGTGTGTGTGTGTAATAGTCATTAAAAAACATATTAAAGCATAAATAAGTACAAAAGACCGCATAAAATTGCTGTTTTAGCATATAAAGAGCATAAAAACTTGACATTTGTAACTGTTTTTTCAAAAATGAACCAACATACTGATTTTCTACAACTAAAATTTGAAGAAAAAGTATATGAAATTCACAAAAAAATGTTCTACATAGTCCATAAAATCCCAGAATCATACCTTTGAGATTTTCAAGTTGAGATGTCACTTGACCTACAGGTTGATTATTTGGCGAGATGTCTTCTCACTTTGTCGGCCATTACTTGGCGATTCTTCTCCGAACCAGCGGCGTGAGCGTCTTCTCTCAACTCTCAGCGTCTTCTCTTAACCACTTCAAATTGCAATTTACATATTGCGAGAGTGAGATAAAAAGAAAGGGCAACCAATTGGATTCAATGTGAATCAACCTAACAACCTAGAATCAATCCTTTAGGTGGTTTATGGATAAGCTAATTTGAAAATTAGCTTACTGGTGCGCTGTGCAATAGAATCAATTGGATCCAATTGTGGCGAATCGACCTAATGGGTGCGCTGTGCACTAGAAGGTGACGGAGAAAATGGACATTCAGAGCAGGGCCAAGAAAATGATAGGGTTGCGTAACTTTACTAAGACTATCGGTCTGTCGGTACCGACTATTATTTTGGTATGGACTTGACTGGACCGAAACCCGAAATCAGAATCAATCTGGACTGAAGACCGACCCGATATCATTTCAGTCCGGGTTTGGTCTAGACCTAACGGTCCGATTCGGTCGGTTTTTCCGGTCCAGATCTAAACATGAACACCCCTAGTCTATGGGTGAATAGGAGAGCGGCTAACTTTGTGTAAGTTTTCACGGTAGAGGAGCGTTTGGGGGATTTGGGGCCAATTATTTTTTCAGTGTGTTATTAATTTTATTGAATTAGATTATATCAGATCAGATCAAATCAGATCTAATCAGATTTCATTAGCTCATATCAGATTATAGTAGATCTAAACAAAATTATTATTATTATTATTATTATTATTATTATTATTATTATTATTATTATTATTGTTATTGTTGTTATTATTATTATTATTATTATTATTATTACTATCATTATTATTAACATTATTATCAATATTATTATTACTATTACTATAACTATTAATATTATGATTATAATCATTATTTACTATTATTATTATTGCTATTAATATTAATAATATTATAATTGTTACTATTATTTTTATTACTATTTCTATTATTATTACTATTATTATTATATTTATTGTTACTATTGTTATTGTTACTATTAATATTACTCCCTCTGTCCCCCATAGATCTTCCCAAACACTATTCACGACACTATTCACAGGGTCAAACTTTACTCACTTTGTTTGCTCATTTTTATTAGTCATTTCATAAAATAATATAGTCTTGTCACCTCTAATTTTGTAGAACTTTTCATGTAGTTTATTACTATATAAATTTTATTTTAAAATTTTACTCCTATAATCAATTAAATTGAATTGAAAATAAAGTCGGTCAAACCTCGTAACGCGTAATGCGAAGATCTTACATGGACGGAGTGAGTATTATTTTATACTATTATTATTACTCTATTATAACTATTTCTATTATTATTAGTATTATTATTATTATTACTATTAATATCACTATTATTAGAATTACTATTACTATTATTATTCTTGTTTCTATTACTATAATTACTATTACTACTATTACTATAATTATTACTAATATTATTAATATTAGTATTACTATAATTGTTATTATTATTATTACTACTACTACTACTACTACTACTACTACTATTATTATTATTATTATTATTATTATTATTATTATTATCATTGTTAGTAATCTTATTATTACTATTACTATTTTTATTAATATTTCTATTATTATTATTATTATTTCTATTAGTATTACTATTATTATTAGTATTATTATTATTATAGTGATTATTATTATCATTATTACTATTATTATTATTATTATTATTATTATTATTTCTATTATTATTACTACTATTATTAGTATTATTATTATAGTTATTATTATTATTACTATTGTTATTATAACTATTATTTTTAATATTTCTATTATTATTATTATTGTTACTATTACTATTAATATTTCTATTATTATTATAACTACTATAATAATAATTTTAATTTTAATAAAATGTATATAGATCAGATCCAATTAGATCAGACCTGATCAAATGAGACTAGATTAGAATCAGATCTAATTATATTAGATCATATCCAATCAGATTAGATCAGGTAAACGGATCGCAGCCTAACAACTGCCTCCATTTTTGCCTCCTAATATAAACTCTTTTTTATATAATCTAAAAAAATCTTCTTGTTAAGTAATAGATAAATTGTTAAATTATCAATTAATTTAGTCATGATTCATCATAGTTGCAAGAACAAATTGTCTATCATTACCATCAAGTTGTCATTTATATATATAGTATGTATACTATTTATAATCGTGTTACCACAACACTAAGCCTCTCCACTATAAATATGAGGCTTGGGATCCCTACAAAACACCATTAAAAACAAAAAAAATATGAAGAATTAGTAAAGAGAAAAAATTAGAAATATATCATATTTATATTCATAATCTTTGAGTACTTTTCTTGCATTTTATAACGCATTATCAACAGGAATTTGCTCAAAATCCCATAAATCTTATTCTTCTCATAAGGTATATTTACTTTTTTTTCTTTGTACACAAACTAAAAATATTTTCTAAAAAATATGAAAAGTGTGCCCTGTGATTGCCCCAAAAAATTGGGATCCTTCACAACACGAATTCATAGTGATTATAAAATAAAAATAGATATATTAAAATTAAATGAATAAACCACACATGAAAATAAGTTAATCTTACCTCTGGATCTACTTTATATGTCTCTTGCAATTTTTCTTCTTCTCATACACCAAGGTGATAATAATAATTTTAATAAAAGTAAAAATAATAATAGTAGTAATAATAATAATAATAATACTCCGTAATAACATAGATAGAAAGAATTGAATCAATGAATTTAATACTCCGTAATAAACTTCATATACAAGTATGAGATGAGATAGCTACGTCTCATAGGCTATAGATAAAGTGTTATCTGAATCTATGCGTAGGCAAGCATATTGGATATGTTGCTGGATTGACCCGCTATGAGAATAATATATTGTAACGCCCCGAAAATAGGCCTATCAGAATTAATTAATGGATAATTAATTAATTACTGTGAAGGACCCAAAAATATGTAAATTATAAAGTTTGTCAATAAATAATGAAAATTATATCGTTATGTAGAGTTTAACTGTCTGATCCCAACGGTTCCATCAGATTTCAATTCGGAGAAAGTTGGACCAAAAAGTGTACCCCGACTGGGACCAAAATTAGTCTCAATCAAGGACTTGCGTTTAGAATCGGAGGAATCCGCCAGCCGCTCCACTAAGACGCCAAAACAGTGTTAGGGAGATCATCTCCCATGGCTTCTTCCCACTCCTCATTCCTATATAAACCCTCCAATTTCTCACCATTTTACACCATTCTTCTCCCAAAAGAAAGCCTTGAGTGTAGAGAGTGGAGTTGTGTTGGCTAGATTGATGACTTCTTTAAAACATATTTATCACTTCATTAATAAAGTATAATATCTTAGGGCCTTTGATTGATGTGACATGGGAAGTGCACGGTCATGCCCAAATAAATATGTTATTTGAATCCCACAAGTATGGGTGGACACGGTACCGGTTCGGTACCGTGACCGGCAACAGTACCGCCGGTACCTGCCACTGTCACTGTCGGTCGGGACGTTCCACCGGTTCTGGGATCGGTATCGGTACTGCCCTCCTTGGTACCGGTTCCGGTGCCAAATTTTCGGTACCAGCACCGCTGGGACCGGTACCGGTTTTAATTTTTTTTTTTGCTTTCTCAACGGTCCATGGGAGAAAATGGGGGTTCACACCTGCAAACACCTGCAAAAAAGGAGAAAAAAATCAGTGGGGTGGGGGAACCTCAACGGCTATTTAGCCGTTTGAGGTGGAGGGTGGGGGAGGGGAGTGAGGGAATTACTATAAATTATACCATTTTTTTAAAAAAATCACACTCGATCCATCTCTCAATCTTATTAACTCTTTTCAATTTTTATACAATTTATATTCATATAATAATATAAATATATATTAATATATTACATAATAACCTATAAATACATTCATTATTCATATTATCAATTATCATATATTTTTAGTTTATTACTAATATTATAATTTCGAAATTTTCAAAATTTAATATATAATTGATATTATTATTACTATTACAATAACTATTAATATTATGATTATAATCATTATTTTTAATTATTATTATTATTATTATTATTATTATTATTACTATTACTATCATTATTATTAACATTACTATCAATATTACTATAACTATTAATATTATGATTATAATCATTATTTACTATTATTATTATTGCGATTAATATTAATAATATTATAATTGTTAGTATTACTTTTATTACTATTTCTAGTATTATTACTATTATTATTATATTTCTTGTTACTATTGTTATTATTACTATTAATATTATTATTTTATACTATTATTATTACTCTTATTATAACTATTTCTATTATTATTAGTATTATTATTATTATTACTATTAATATCACTATTATTAGAATTACTATTACTACTACTATTATTATTCCTGTTTTTATTACTATTATTATGACTTTAATTACTATTACTACTATTACTATAATTATTACTATTATTATTAATATTAGTATTACTATAATTGTTATTATTATTATTACTACTACTATTATTATTATTATCATTGTTACTAATATTATTATTATTATTGCTGTTTTTATTAATATTTATATTATTATTATTATTTCTATTATTATTACTATTATTATTATTATAGTTATTATTATTATCATTATAACTATTCTTATGATTACTATTATTATTATTATTTCTATTATTATTACTACTATTATTAGTATTATTATTATAGTTATTATTATTATTACTATTGTCATTATAACTATTATTTTTATTATTTCTATTATTATTATTATTGTTACTATTACTATTAATATTTTTATTATTATTATAACTACAATAATAATAATTTTAATTTTAATAAAATGTATATAGATCAGATCCAATTAGATCAGACCTGATCAAATGAGACTAGATTAGAATCAGATCTAATTATATTAGATCATATCCAATCAGATTAGATCAGGTAAACGGATTGTAGCCTAACAACTGCCTCCATTTTTGCCTCCTAATATAAACTCTTTTTTATATAATCTAAAAAAATCGTCTTGTTAAGTAATAGATAAATTGTTAAATTATCAATTAATTTAGTCATGATTCATCATAGTTGCAGGAACAAATTGTCTATCATTACCATCAAGTTGTCATTTATATAGTATGTATACTATTTATAATCGTGTTACCACAACACTAAACCTCTCCACTATAAATATGAGGCTTAGGATCCCTACAAAACACCATTAAAAACAAAAAACTA